TTGGTACAGAACACAGACGATGAAGTTGTATTGCTCCGCTATTCACAAAATTGAACTCATTCAAAACTCTGCCGACTCACATTCTCACTCGCAATAAACTCCATACCTCCATTACCCCGGTCCTTGTCAAACTCCAGAACGTGAGTGACCAACTGTATCTGTGGGATTGTCGGCCAGGACCTTGGGAGAGAGAAACTTCCTTCTCTTTTTGAACGGGATCTTTTAACGTTCATCTGAACAGCAGACGTGGCCTCGGTTTATTGCCTCATCCGAAGGATGACATCTCTGACAATGCAGTGCTCCCCTATCACTGCACTGGAGTGTAGCCTAAACTGTAACCTTAAAATCCCAACATTAGGCTTTGAACCCACAACTTTCTGATGCAGAGATTAGAGTGCAACCGGCTGAGCTCGGCTGATGTCTGAAAGTGATGGAAATTCCTTCACCTTTCAAAACATATCTAACTGACTCACTAACTAACTTATTGTTTGTGCGTGTGTGTGTCTGACTGACTTGGTGTGTGTGTGTCTGACTGACTTGGTGTGTGCGTGTGTGTGTCTGACTGACTTGGTGTGTGTGTGTGTCTGACTGACTTGGTGTGTGTGTCTGACTGACTTGGTGTGTGTGTGTCTGACTGACTTGGTGTGTGTGTGTGTGTGTGTGTCTGACTGACTTGGTGTGTGTGTGTGTCTGACTGACTTGGTGCGTGTGTGTGTCTGACTGACTTGGTGTGTGCGTGTGTGTCTGACTGACTTGGTGTGTGCGTGTGTGTCTGACTGACTTGGTGTGTGTGTGTGTGTGTGTGTCTGACTGACTTGGTGTGTGCGTGTGTGTCTGACTGACTTGGTGTGTGTGTGTGTCTGACTGACTTGGTGTGTGTGTGTGTGTCTGACTGACTTGGTGTGTGTGTGTCTGACTGACTTGGTGTGTGTGTGTGTGTGTCTGACTGACTTGGTGTGTGCGTGTGTGTGTCTGACTGACTTGGTGTGTGTGCGTGTGCATGTGTGTGTGTCTGACTAACTTGGCGTGTGTGTGTGTGTGTCTGACTGACTTGGTGCGTGTGTGTGTCTGACTGACTTGGTGTGTGTGTGTGTGTGTCTGACTGACTTGGTGTGTGTGTGTGTGTGTGTCTGACTGACTTGGTGTGTGTGTGTGTGTGTCTGACTGACTTGGTGTGTGTGTGTGTCTGACTGACTTGGTGCGTGTGTGTGTCTGACTTTGGGTGTGTGTGTGTGTGTCTGACTGACTTGGTGTGGTGCGTGTGCATGTGTGTGTGTGTCTGACTGACTTGGTGTGTGTGTGTGTGTGTGTCTGACTGACTTGGTGTGTGTGTGTGTGTCTGACTGACTTGGTGTGTGTGTGTGTCTGACTGACTTGGTGCGTGTGTGTGTCTGACTGACTTGGTGTGTGTGTGTCTGACTGACTTGGCGTGTGTGTGTGTGTGTCTGACTGACTTGGTGTGTGTGTGTGTGTGTGTGGTCTGACTGACTTGGTGTGTGCGTGTGTTGTCTGACTGACTTGGTGTGTGTGTGTCTGACTGACTTGGTGTGTGTGTGTGTCTGACTGACTTGGTGTGTGTGTGTGTGTGTCTGACTGACTTGGTGTGTGTGTGTGTGTGTCTGACTGACTTGGTGTGTGTGTGTGTGTGTGTCTGACTGACTTGGTGTGTGTGTGTGTGTGTCTGACTGACTTGGTGTGTGTGTGTGTGTCTGACTGACTTGGTGTGTGTGTGTCTGACTGACTTGGTGCGTGTGTGTGTCTGACTGACTTGGTGTGTGTGTGTGTGTCTGACTGACTTGGTGCGTGTGTGTGTCTGACTGACTTGGTGCGTGCGTGTGTGTGTGTGTCTGACTGACTTGGTGTGTGTGTGTGTCTGACTGACTTGGCGTGTGTGTGTGTCTGACTGACTGGGGGGGTGGTCTAGCCCAGCTGCTATCTGTGTTTCGTGGATCAGATAGTGTGGTGGATAAATTGCTGCTGTGTTTTCTGGGGGCTACCCCCTGCTCGTCACTCTTAAGCTTCACAGCTTTCAGCCAACAGCGCAAGAGTTGGTAAAGTGACTCCTGGGTTTTCTGCACCGATTGCTCTTCCCCTTGTCCCTGGTGCCTGGAGCTAATGGTTTTATAGCACAGGAACAAGGAGCAGTTAAGCAGACTAAAGCTTTCTCAGTTTATAATTACTGTAGACATTTGAAGCCAATTCAAGTGAATCCAGTTCTCTTGAAATTACTTGATCTTTGAAGTTTGGAATGTGTCGTAACATCCTGACATGATAGTGTGGCCATGTTACTGACTGACTACTCTAGAGTTCCCATTGAGCAAATGTAATAAACTGAACTCTTCCTGTTGGCCCATGTACAGGGTGACTAAAAAGTAGTGATACCATTCCAATGTCTAGTAAGTCTTAAAGAAATGATGATGTATATATTTTTAGATAAAAGTAAATGGTATCACGACTTTTTGGTCACCCTGTTGTTCCTTTCATGGAAATGCGTGTTTTTTTAAAAAAAGGAATCTGGTGATGCAGTAAGTTGCAAGAGTTCTGAACTACGGTTGTAATTTGTTTGTATTTTATATTGTAATCCAGATTTTTTCTTAGTCGCTATAGAACCATAGAAATTTGCCGACGAAGGCCAGGCCATTTGACCCACTGTGGTTCTCCTGACTATACGTAAGAGTCATTGTCTGGGCATTTTTTGTGCAAAAGTTTGTAGGTGTTAATTTGATAGGGTTCAGGTCGAGGTTACAATAACTGTAAATCAGACTGCTTAATAAGCATTTCATTGTTCCTTCACTTCTCCTCGCCTCCCCTCCCCAGATTGCTAAAGGATTAGTTTGCTTCAGATCTTCAGATGGTCCTTCGCTGTGTTCCCACATTTGTGACGTGTTGATGTAAGCCAGCTGGTTTGTCTTCCTCCAGGTGAAAGTCGCTGTACAAATGTCATTTGTTGTTCTCTCCTGTGGAAGAGAGTGATCAGAGAGCTAATTATTCATTGAACACTCCACGATCAAAAAGTAAATATCAATCTGTGTAGTCCTTTGGTCCATTTGATCTCTACCCCCCACCCACCCGGCTCCCATTTAGATGTTTCCAATCTTAGTCAATGACTTTTAGAACAATAATAATCACTAGATTTGATATTGTCTCCTCGGGAGCACGTCTCAAAGTGCTTCACAGGATTTACTGTAAAATAGATTCACTGCGTTTTGTAGGCAAAATACGATTATTAAATATGTTACAAAAGGTGGGTTTAATGCCCATTTCTCTCAGCACATGTGTATGTACTACTGTGCAAATATTGACAGCACTAAAACACCAGCAGTAAATTGTTGACCAAGGATTGTTTTGCGTTTGAAGCCCCTCCGAAAGTAAAAGATATATGTGTGTGTAATGAAAGTTCAAATGACCATTTTTGTCCAGTTTAACTTGCTTTACAAGCTTCAGGATATTTAAAATAGGCAAATAAATGTTATTTTGTTGCTCAGTCAGAGAGGAAACTCGCCTCGTATCTGCTCCAAACAGATATTTATTGCTCCACTGCCCCACCCCACCTTGCCCCTCTCTCTCCTACCTCTTGTCTGCCACATTCACCCAAAAAACACACACAATCGCTGCCCTTGACAGTGTATCCTGTGATGGGATAAGGCAAGGGTGATATTGTATTGTGAACTGTGGCTGAACATTGAGCAGCGGCAGAATGTTCCTCAGCCCTGGACAATCATAATAATAATAATCTTCGCATTTGATTTAGAGCCTTATCATGTTTTCAAGACGTCTTAAACCACTTCACAGAATATACTTTAACACTAAATGGACAACACTAAATGCTGCTCGAACCACACTCACATTACATGTACTTGAGTGAGCAACTAGTAAACGTATGGACCAGGCTCCCGAGGGAGACAGACGGTGGAAGCAGAAAATGTTGTTTGTTCCAAGAACAAATGAGATTGATTTCTGCTGGAAAATAATATCTGGGGAAACAGTGTATAGTTTGCGACACGACATGTCAGTGACTGCCAGGATGGTGGAGGGGAACGAGATGGACCTTGGTCTTCTCTCGCCAGCAAATACTTATGTTCTTATGGGTGGCACAGATTTCCCAGCCTTGTTCCTATCAAACCTTCTGCACTCTGAGCCTCACTGCTGTTCAGCCCCTTCGCTCAGCTGGCCCTGGCCTCCTGCATGTCCCTCGTCCCCTCCACTCCACCAGCTGCAGGGCTTTTTTAGCCACGATGCTCCGAGACTCTGTAACTCCACCTCAATCTCTGTCTCACCCTCTCCTTGTCCATCTTCAGATCACACTGAAGACTTTCCTCTTTGACTGTGCTTGTGGTCACCTTTACTCTCTCCCCAGATTGTGTCTCACTCCAAAACCCCATCCCACAAGAATGGCACTGTGTAAATACACGTGAGTGTTTAGCTGGTACATGTGCATGGGAACACTCCTAATGGCTGACCAGCAACTGCTCAATAAAACATTGGAGAAGCGAAGGTTCCATCCGCTGCCCCTTTCTCGCTGACCCCTTCTCGCTGACCTCGGAGATGTTTACAGCCTCTGAGACATATTGGTAGATAATGGTGTGTAGCCATTGCTGGTTTGTTTGGGGGAGTTTGTGAGGTGCAACAGCGTCTTGTTTTGTGAGAGTTTGTCAGACTCCATGGCTATCCTCACATTTATTATCCCTCCCCCTCCGACCTGCTCACCCCCCACTCCCCCACCCGCTGCCTCTGCTCGGCTGGCTCCGGCCTCCTGCTTGTCCTTCGTCCCCTCCGCTCCACCATCCGTGGCTGTGCCTTCAGCCATTGCGCCCCAAAACACTGGAACTCTCCCCCAAACCCTCCGCCTCACCCCCTCACTCCCCACCTTCAAATTACCATCTCCCCCCCCCCCCACTCCCCCGGCTTGGAGTCAGACTCTGTCACTGTCAAGTGCTTCAGGACCCTACCCCGCGTGAAGGACACTGTATAAATGCAAGTTGTTGTTGTTGTATTGGGACTGAGGGCTGTAAACGTGGCAATGTGATTTTTATGGTGGTTGCAGGTGGTTTGGGGGCAGAACTAAATAGGCTGATGTACAATATGGTCAGCTCTAACATGTTCCTTATTTCTGTTTGTGGAGAAAAGGAATGCGATTGCTAGTGTGTGTATGTGTGTGCGTGGGGGTGTTGGGAGGTAGACTGGTCCTCTGTGAGGGGAACACTGGGGGTGGGGGGTGAGGCTGCTCTTGGCTGCCGCTGTTTGGGGTGATGTTGGAGACATGTGGGAGAGGGGATTTGCCATATTACAGCAATCTGACTGCACAGAATGAGGAGACGGCCAGATTGGGGGTGATGGGTAAGTGCAGGGAATGAATGGGCTGCCAGCACTCGCTGTCTAGGTTCACGGTATGTAATGGGCCCACAGGAGAGGTGATGGGGGCAATGGTTGCCCAGATCATAACAGCAAAGGGAGGAGGGGAAAAGCAAACAAGGAAAGGAAGACTGGGCTTGTCATGTCAGGTCCCCAGAAAATCCCCTTCAAAGCTTTCCTGGAGCTGTTGTGATCTGTGCTTTATGAGTGATGGATTCGGCCATTATTTCCGAGCTCTGCTAAAGCACACGTGTGTTGTGCAGTGCTTGGGGGAGATTTTAGTGGACCGTCTTGTTTTGTAATTCACGGATGTATTGTGAAGCGCTCTCAACTCTTCTGACAATTTGCTGGTTATAGAAACATCGAGTAGGCCATTCATTCAGGAGTAATAATAATAATAATCCTTGCATTTGATATAGCGCTTTTCACGTCTTCTCGACGTTCCAAAGTGCTTCACAGAACACACTGTAAAGTGAATTGACTGTATATTTGTGGGCGAACGCGGCAGCCAATTGCGCACAGTAATGTCCCACAAACAGTCGTGGATTGAAAATGACCAATTTATTATTGTTTTGTTTTGGAGGGATTATTATTAGGCTCTGTGTGGAGTAAGGAAACTTGCCCAAGGTTTCGCCCTCTGCCTGGAATTGAACTCAGGTCTCTCGCTTGCAAAATAGGCCATTCAGGCCAATTGTTCTGCTATTCTATAAGATCATGGCTGATCTTATGTCCACTCCCTCCATTCATCAGGCTCCGGTCTGCTCCATGTCTCCCGCCCGACCTGCCCTACCATCGGTGGCCGGGCTTTCAGCCTCTGCCCCCACACTCTGGAACTCCATCCCATGGTCCCTTCGCCTCGCTTCCTCCCTCGCCTCCATCAAGGCCGGTCTCAGGACCCTTCTCTTCGACCGTGCCTTTGGTCTTCCTCCCACCTCCCTGGCTTCCCTCACCCCTACCCCATTCCCTCACCCCTACCCCACCCCTTCAGTTCAGTAGCTGGAGCTTGTGAGAGTTGGGGACCTGCTTTCTGTGGTCCCCCTTGTTCTGTGATGTCGATACCAGCTGGTTCCAGTAGTTGTAGAGATGCCATTCTTGGATGCATTTAATGATTTGATATATTCAGAGTCCTGTAACTTAGTTGTTAGAGCCCTTGCCTCACAAACGAGAGACCTGGGTTCAATTCCCAGGTTTACTGTTTATCTAGCAGTAAGTAGGAACTCAGTTGTTAGTCAATTGGTGGATCGATTTTCTGGGTGCAATAATCCCTCAAATAATAATAATTTGGTCACTCAATCTACGACTGTTTGTGGGGCACTGCTGTGCGCAATTGGCTGTATATTTGAGCAAAATCACCAGATCATAAACCTCACATTCACGTTCCTAATGGAGAGGTTTCCTCCGACCTGTTTGCAGAGTCCAGGATCGAGCAATGAGGTGGGTTTGTGGCAAACACAGGAAGCGGCTGCAGGGAGGGAGGGCTCCGGCCTACACTGACCTGTTGCTGAGCAGCCTGGAGGTAGAGATGGCTTCACAGCGGCACGTCTATTTGCCAAGGCCCCTCACGTGAGGACCTGGTGCTGAGCAGCCTGTACATGGCATTGGACTTGGACCTCGAGATCATCAATGTGGCTCCCACAAGCGCAAGTAAAGGTCCTCCCACGACACTGTAGGCAGATGACCATCAAGATAGCAGTATTCCAGGACACTGCCATTGACAGCCCAGGTAGACTAGCTCATTGGTAGGACTTTGAAGGGCAGCCTAGTCACTGGGGGCAAGGAATCCTCCCACTGAACTCCTGTTAACCATGCAAGACAAAGCCCCAATGGATACGGTGGTCCTAGCCAGGCAAGAAGTGGGAATGTTTGCTGGACCGTGCTTTCAATGGCAAAATATGTGATTTTAGCTGGTTAAAATTCAACATCAACTAGGATCCCCAAGCCTTGGCTCTTGCCAATTTGAGCCTAATACCCTCTGGAATTAGGTTGGCAGGGTATGTCCATGCAGAGGGAGAGAGCGCTATTCCGAGCTAGACATGGGGCGATTTCAGTATTTAGGAATTCTTAGTCTGCCTTATAGACACAGGGATGGGTTTCTGCGTGTGTCAGACGCGTGTGGCTCACCAAAAGAGCCATGGTGCTCCCCGATCCTATTTGTAACAATATATTTTAAACAAAGGTAATCAGAGTTAGGTGAGAAAATCAGCCATGATCTTATTGAACGGCGGAGCAGGCACGAAGGGCCGAATGGACTACTCCTGCTCCTAATTCTTATGTTCTTATGTTCTTATGTTCTAAATAGTTTGCCACTGGCAAAGGTGACCTATCTAGTACTGGAGGCCGGGATGTGCTCCAGTTTGTGGGGTTTAAATGGACTCTGTCAATAAGTTGGTGTAAGCTTGAGTGTGCAGCTGTTTAAAATCAGTCAACTCTTGGGCTGTATAATGGAATATTTTCAACAAATTCTGCATGAAGTCTCTCACAGGAACGAAGTTTCGCAACAACTCATCCTGAATCAGTAAGGATGGGAGTTGTCCTAATCTTTCAATTAAAAAAAATACTTTTATTGTGTTTTTCTCTGAGCTCTTTCCAGGGGGAAAAGGAGCCAGAAAAGTGAGTGGGGGTGTGTGGGGGAGGAGAGTTTATATCATGATCGCCATATCCCACTCATCCCTGGTTGCATGTTAAGTAAATCTACAGTATCTCTCTCTCTCTGTGCAATGTTACATTATTTTACGTATAACAAATCATGTCTGGCTGATGTTCCTCCTTTCCTAGTGTTGGGATGGTGAGGCCAGGGACAGTTTATGCCCCTGTGGTTACGAGTGGTTTGGCTGCGATTAACAATGCTTGTATTGACACAGCACGGAAATAGACAACTTGGCCCAGCCAGTATGTGCCAACTAGATATACTGGCTCCGCTGAGCTGTACTGAACTGTCCTACAATCCTCAGTTTTCCCGTGTACGCACAGCAAAGATCATTGTCTTCAGTGACTGGATTCAATTTGTTGTTGATAATTTGGTGACATGATGGATATGCCCAGGAAATGGAGTGTAGATGATGCCGGTGGCATTTCTTAATGCCAGTAATTTATTCAAAGTGGCATCTCTTTGTTATCTGAAATGTTGTTTTGGAAAGCCATAGTGAATTGGTTGAAGGGGAAGGTTCCGAGTGTCCCCTGGTTTGAGATTTGAGTTAGTGACTGGCGCGGAGGCCAGCAAGGCCAGTGTGTAAAGCAACCGCTGGGAAGACACTGACCCTCACATTATGAGCACTCAAGGACCTGGCTCCATCCATTAATCTGCCACCATCGGCAATCGGGCGTTCAGCCTCTCTACCCTCGCCCTTTGGAACTCCTTCCAACAATCCCTTCGCCTCAAGACCCTCCTCTTCGACCGCGCATTCAGCCACCCTCCTACCCCCACCCTCCCTGCTCTCCACCCCTCCTGATCCCAGCCCGCTGCTCGGATCCAAATCCTTGATTGTCCAGCGCTTTAGGACATCCTCCCGAAGTGAAAGGCATCCTCCCGAAGTGAAAGCCACAAATGTCATTTGTTGTTGTTGCTCCATGGCAGAGGATTGGAAACTATGGCTGCCCAATCTCAGCCAGTCCTGACTCATGTTGTATTTTAGAGAGAGAGGACGTTGTGGAGGTCACTGCGCTGGTACACAATGTGCCACACAACCTGCCCGTCCCTCTCCTGAACCCAAAAGAGGCAGCAGCCCAGTTCTTACAGCTGAGCCCAGATCTCAGTGTCAGGAATTAAACTCTTGCTTTTTTTACCTCCCCCATCTCCCCCATCTCCTCCCCCATCTCCCCTCCTCCCCCCTCCCCTCCTCCCCCATCTCCCCTCCTCCCCCTCCCCATCTCCCCTCCACCCCCTCCCCTCCTCCCCCATCTCCTCCCCTCCTCCCCCATCTCCCCTCCTCCCCCATCTCCCTTCCTCCCCCATCTCCCCTGGGGCCGGGGGACCAGGGCTGGGGCCAGGGGACCAGGGCTGGGGCCAGGGGACCAGGGCTGGGACCGGGGGGCCAGGGCTGGGGCTGGGGGGCTAGGACTGAGGCCGGGGGGCTGGGGCCGGGGGGCTGGGGCCGGGGGGCTAGGGCTCGGGCCGGGGGCTAGGGCTGGGAGATAGTGTTGGTGCCGAGGGGCTAGGCGTTGGAGCTGGGGAATGGAGCTGTGGGCTGGGGGTTGCGGCTGGGGGCTGGCATTGGAAGTTGGGGGTTAACGTTGGGGCTGATATGCTGGCAACTATGGCTAGGCCGAGGGTTAAGGCTGGGGCTGGAGATTGGGAGTTGGGGCTTGGAGTTGGGGCTGCACAGCTGAACGGGCAGAGAGATGACGAATGGAGTTCAGTGGACTTGAATCTTCTTTTCCTCCTGCTCGGGCTGCAGTGTGAGTGCCTTTTGTTCCCGGCCTCCAGGGCCTCATTGTTAATTGCGGATGTGGTTTGGACGTGAAGTTGCAGATTAGAGATGTGAGTGCAATGTATGGGCTGTCAGCCGAGGAGTTCAGTGTCCTAGCCCATCATTGCGCACTACATGCTCTGACCTCTCTCCAGGGGTTAGTTACCACAGTGCGGGATCTCACTGCAGGTTTGGAAGAAACCTGTGATTGTTTATGAGACATGTTTGCAGAAAATATTCTCATTCAGTCAATACTCCAAAACTTTGGAACTCTCTCTCTCAATCCCTCCGTCTTGCCCCCTGCCTCCCCACCTTCAAAAATCCCACCTAAAGACCTTCCTTTTTGATCGTATTTACAGTCTCCCTCTCCCCCTGGCTTGGGGTCAGACTCCACCACTGTCAAACGCTCCAGGATGCTTCCTCACGTGAAGGGCGCTGTCTAAATACAAGTTGTTGTTGTCCAACTCCCCACAAAACACTTCTATTTTAATTTTAAAAATCCAGTGTAGAGAGACGCTGCTTAATTTTAGACATAAATTCAAATCCAAGGAGAAAAGTAAATCTCAATTTTTTTAAGAA